CAGTCGCCTAATTTCTTAATGAGAATGGGGTGAGAGACATCCTATAGGATGGAACTGTGCTGCATCCATACAAAACTAGTTTGTGGTAGCCACTGATACTGCTCTGATCCTACTCTCTCATTTGTTCACACTTTTTTTAAAACTTTTTTTTTTTAAAGATTTGAATTTTTTGAATCATTGGAAGACATTAGGAAACGGAAACTAGACATTGCAGTGAAAAACAGCAGGCCATTCATTTCACATGAGAGAAAGGAACTTGGAAAAGTAAGTTTAAACCATCAAATATTTATTGTTAAGTGTCATACATGTTAAAACCTGAAATGCTACCTGTGCAACCATTAATATAATGGTTTCTCTGAATTCTCTATAATACTTATTTAAAACCGTCTTGTTCACTGTACCGTATTTGAGAGGCCTTCCCCACTGCTGAACTGCAGTACCAGGGTATGAGACTGATCATTAAAGCTAACTGGATTTCACTTCAGGATTTCATTTCTGCAAATGAAACAAAGGTGCTTTTTCTGCTTTCATCTCAAAGTAAGACCACCCCCAACCCCCACACCCTGACAGATATTTTTCATGGCACACATGAAATATTCCACAGAATTTCATCTCAAAAACACTGAGAAATTCTGGCAACCAGGGTGTTTTTCAGTGTTTCTAAAACAAAATATATTCTTTGGGGTCTCTAGCTGGTGAGTTTGGAAGCCTGGGCTCCCCAGAAAACTCCTGAGGAGCAGGGGAGCTGTGGACTTGATGATTATTCAACATTTTCTGACAAAAACTTGCATTTTGCAGACAGTAAATTTTTCATTTTGAAAACCATCCTAAAGGGAAATGTTCAATTAGCTGTACTGTCCCTGATCTTCAGTGCTGTGCGCCCAGAAGATTTCAAGCTCAGCTCCTTAATCTGAGCTCTACTTCCAGAACTTTAACTAGAACTGACTGGAGAAGAGCAGTAGTAACAAGGACCCATTTTAAACTCTTCTAGTGGACTTGCAAGTTGAATGTTAGTTATAAAATATGGCTTACTTTTTAAAGGTACGAATTGATTTGGCAAAAGAAGATATAATCAAAGGCTTCTCACAATGGTAAGTTCTTGTCTTGATACCTTCCAAGATTGCTTAGATCTGTATTTTCAGTGAAATAGGCAGCCTCTTGTTCTAGAGTTTCTAACGAACCCTAAAGTTAGCGGATTCAGGCTTTTCTTCCCTAACTGCTCCAGAAATGAACATCTCACTCTAACACATAGTTCCTAAAGACCCAGTCAGATTGTGCTAGATGAAATACCGGGTGCCTTACAATCTATATGCGAGACAGACAGGTATACAGACAAATAGGAGCATAGGGACAGTATTTGTAAAGACAATAGGCAGTGGTCTCAGCACTCTCATGGCCTAACCTTTGTCAAGTTCATTGAAAAGCTGCAGGACAAGAGTTCAATGGGTCCTAAAGGAGAACAAGGAGGTAGCATTGCTGTATACACCTGCAAAACCACTTCTTCCTCCATTTCCACTGTTTTTTGCTGTGTTGTCTACAGAAATAACCAATGAAGAATTTGAGCACCCCGTAGAGTGCATTTGTTAAAAGTACATAGAGACCGTGGTGAAAAGTGTAATTTAGGGGCTGGCTAAAAGGTTGGGAAAAGGTGCTTCTTTCAAATACAGGGCACATCTTCAAAAACGATAATCCTTGCTGGCTTGTCTTTTGCAGGTACGAGCTGACCATGAATGGACAGAGCAGGCGATGATGTCCTCAGTGTGCCCTTACAGTCACAACTAATTTACATGCTTTATATTAATGTATATATGTATATTTTGTAACTAATCCATTTTAAACTTAATTATGTATATTGAAGGCAAAAGGTGTTGGATTTGTTTGCTTAACTACCTTTTTCAGTGGCTGGTTATTTTGGAAAAGGTAGAAAAAAAGATGGATTTAATCCTTTAAATTTAGACTAGGTGTAAATGTGTAACATGAAGCTTTCATGACCTCAGCATTTACTCGTGACTGGTATAACTGAAGAAACTTAACAAGCAGCCTCCATGTGTACTTACAGATGTTTAGTCTCAAAAGGATACTTGAGTGCCAAGAGCACACTAAGACCAATTGTTTTTGCTTTTAGAGAATTCCCTGCCCCTAAAGCTCTGAGTTCATGTTCTGTTGACACCATACTTGAAATTAGTATACTAGCAGAATCATGGGTTTTCAAAACACTGTTCTTCACTTCCAAGACTGAAGAGACTCCAAAAGCAGCAATTACAATTTATATCTACACAAGTCTAAGAAAATTATCTGATATTCTACTGTGTGGGAGGTTTTTTTTAATAAAGCAGATTGCAGGTGCTAACTTGAAATGGGTATAAATATGATTCACCAACAGCAGGGAAGTGTATAAACTTTTTGATATCTTGGCACAACAAGATGGTAACGCCTTAAAGTCAAATTCTTTATTATGGTACATTTCAAAGTCTTGTGAGCTTTGTAAATACAGAGTTCCATGTTGGAAACAACGGACTATAATTTTGTAAGCAAGCCTTTTATTAATGTTGGGGGAAAACATGCCAATATTTTCAGATGTTCAGTATGTTTAAGTCTCAGACTTGTATAATAAACTATTTACAAATTGCTCAAGAGACTGAGCAAACATGACCTATTGTTTAGTGCCTATAATGCACCCGTTTAAGTGCTAAAGATCCTGGCTGTGAGAGCTGAATGTGCATGTGGGAAGCTCAGCCTAACTTTGTTGATTCTGCTGATGGCAGCTAATCCCATTTTACTTAATGTTTAAAATACATTGCTGGCTAGCACAGCAACATTCTTACCTGCACAATGGCTAGAGTCACTTCATTTGTGGCTATGCTTGGACCAATGCAACAGTCACTAGTTTTAAATTTGGTTTAGTGGGAATTAAGTTGAAAGCTGGTAACCATTGTAACTCAATCTCCTGGAACCCCAAAACATCCACCTCCTATTTTCCCCTCCTCCAGAGACAGCTTTCAAAATTCAAAACGGGTATACAGAATTCCAGCACTCAGTGAGTATGTGGTTGTCTTTAATTCATAGATCCAGAAGTGGATTGCAACTTTCCAGAGTTGAAGTATCTTCTGCAGTAATTTAATCACTGGCAAAAGTTATGGCTAAGACACTTAGTTGTGTTTTTATGAGTTTAAGTCTTGTACTTCAGAGCTCTCTGTAGCAA